CCACCTACCTGTCTTCTGCCCCAACCCCTCCTCCTCATAAGCTTCTTTCTCCTCCTGCAGCTTGGGCAACAGCAGCAGATAAAGCACTGAAAGCATAGGAGAGAAAGAGAGAGAGAGAGTCTCCCTGCTTTCAGTTCCTGTACCCAGTGCCACAGTGGCTTCCAGAATGAGCAGTTGCATTGATAGTCCTGATCAGCCTCTGAAGCCTGGAGATGGGGCATATTTCACTAAAATTCTAAAATTTCTAAAAAGCTCATCTGAACTAAGATTTTCAGAGGCTCATAATTAAGTCAAAATTGGGTGAATTTTCATAGGACAGCAAAAGGCATGTCCTTGACTGCTGGACAACAACTTTAACCAATTTCAAGTCATTGTTCTAAAGTGGGGGTTTCAAACTCCAGTTTGTGGCTTGAAAGGAAAGATGCTTTGTTTTCATGTGCCTCATCATGTGCAGGTGATCGCAACTCCCATTGGCTGCAGATTGTCATTCCTAGCCAATGGGAGCTGTGGGAAGTTATGCAGACAGAACAGTCAGTTTTAGGGCAGATGAGCATGGCTGTTACCCTGAGTGCCAACTTACAGGGGGCACCAAACTGTGATTAGCTGTCCTTTCCCCCCCCCCTTTTTTTTTATTTGTTCAGCCACTAAGGTCTGGGGAAGACCAAAACATTTTCGCTTCTGTTCTCAATTCTCTTTTGAATAAATTAAACAGCTTGAGCTCTTTAGCATGTCATTGCAAAGCATTTTCTCCAGCCCTCAAATATTTTTGGTGCTCTTTTCTGCATTATCTCCAATTTTTCAACACCTCTTTTACAAAGTAGGCACCAGAACTGGATGGAGTATCCTAGTATGGATTTCACTTGGCATGGAAAATTTTAGTCCAAATGTTTAGTCTGGCAAAATTACAAGCAACTGTAAACATGGAAAATGTCAGGTAACCTGAATTAAAGACATCACTATATGTGTTACCTATAAATTATATATTTTCTAAAGGAAATAAATGAAAAATATCCAGAAATTTCTTCATAAATGGTTGTGGATAAGTATAAAAAAATGAAAGGTCAATTTTTTAAGCTGATCTTTGAAATTTGTTGCACATAAGAAAAAAATCTTGGCTCTAAGAGAAAAATTCACATGAGGCAGGAAGTTTCTCTTTATTTCCCTGAAGCAATGTTAAACCAGACAGCTAGCACATGTAAATTTTGGATTCTTACTTGGCTCCTTAGAGATAAATAGTAGTTTTCTAAAATATTTTTTTAATTTCAGCTTCTAACTTCTTCCAGAGATTACATGTCCTACCTGACAGGCCAACAAATAAATATACATACTTCAGAACATCTAAAGACTAGGATAATAGGAGTCCTGTTGCAGTTAGATTATTCTCATGCTTTATTTTGGGTGTAGTTACCAAGTACCTTTGCTACTGAACAGTATTCCATATTATGGTTAAGAAGAGTAAATTATTTTATTGAAGATATGGTCTTTGTGATCACAGATATCTGTACGTAGGATTAACAACAGAAGCCCTTCTAATCAAACCTAATGTTACGCAAATGTCACGGAAAACTTTTCATCGTACTGAAAGAATTGATAAAAATTAATCAGATTCACTTGCATTTTCATTTTCCCGATCATCTAGGTGTCTTTTTCCTAGGACACTAATTTAATTTGTCTACATAGGAAATTAAACTTCAAAACACAGTTGATTGCTCTCTAAATTAAAACAAGACAATCGATTTTTTTCTATTGTGGTAAACTAGACTTTTTTGTTTGTGTGACATCTGTTATCTCCAGTGAAATATTATCATAAGAAAGAAAGCTTCCTGTGAGTTCTTCAAGTTTGCACAGCTATAACTTGAGGGTTTTAAGGCTTGCACAAATGAGACCTTCACTAAAGTTAAGATTCTTTTATCTTGCATATCTAAGTTTTTCTCTTCATTATGGACTAAGTGGTTAGAGGCCCAACTTCAACAGATGACTACAAAAATAATTTGCCTCTGGAAATAATTGAGAGAGATCACTAGAAGTATTTAAGAACAGAATATACATCAGGGGAAACAAAGTAAATTAAAATCATGCTTCAGGCAAAACTGTTTGGATGAGATAATCCAGGAGGTCTTTTCCAACCTATGATTCGATGAAAAAAAATGTGTTTTTTAAATTTATGTACAAGCTAAAGAGACAGAAAGATCCAACTCTGTGAAAGAAAATGTACTTAAATGAAAGTATTAAAATTTATTACATGCCTTCCACCTTATTATTTGTATTTTCTTAAACCTAGAGGCTGTGTCTACATTGGCCCCTATTCCGTAATAGGGATGCAAATGTAGCACTTTGGAATAGGCAAATCCGCGGGGGATTTAAATATCCCCCGCGGCATTTGCATTTTCATGGCTGCCGCTTTAGATAAGCCGGAGAAAAGCGCCAGTCTGGACGTGATCCTCCGGAAAATAAGCTCTTTTCCGGAGGATCTCTTATTCCTACTTGAAAGGAAGGAATAAGAGATCTTCCGGAAAAGAGCTATTTTCCGGAGGACCGCGTCCAGACTGGCGCTTTTCTCCGGCTTATCTACAAGCCAGAAAAAAGCGGCAGCCATAAAAATGCAAATGCCGCGGGGGATATTTAAATCCCCTGCGGATTTGCCTATTCCAAAGTGCTACATTTGCATCCCTATTACGGAATAGGGGCCAATGCAGACGTAGCCTTATTGTATAATAACAATTCCCTACTTTACAATATTCTATTTGATTAACTTATATAGTGCCCATTTTTTCACATTTTTACATATAAAATGTTTTAAATACTCAAAGAAACAATGGCACCCACACTGGGTAGCACCTGGATCATCAGTAATACAGCAATAAAAACTCAGCAAGCAAAAGGAAAACATAGAGGAGTTACCCACCATGTAGTAACTTTTGTTCTGTGCAATGTGCTATCTCAGTGTATAGTGCACTTCAGCTTGGACAAATGTTCCATGTGCTCACAACTGCAGATTTTTCCATAGCACTGCAGAGTCCATGTGACACAGACATGTGCACCCACTCTGCTTGCACTTTGCACCAATGGAGTAAAAAGGGCTCCCTTTTCAATCCGCAGTTCCCAGTATGGGAGGGTAGATAGTAGGTTACACATAGGATTAGCACACCTTAAAGAACTCATGTTACTGGAAGATAACTCCTCCTTCTTCCTCAAGCAATTGTCCCTCTATCTAGTGCACTTCAGGTGATTCATAAGCAGAGCCTTCATCAGGATGTGCGAAAGGGGGACTAGAATATTATGATACAACACACTGCAGAACAAAATACCGC